AATACAATACAATACAATACAATACAATAGTAGAGTTGGAAGGGACCTTGGAGGTCTTCTAGTCCAACCCCCTGCCCAAGCAGGAAACCTTACCATTTCAGACAAATATATATCCAACATCTTGTTAAAAAAATCCAGTGTTGGGGCATTCACAACTTCTGGAGGCAAGCTGTTCCACTGATTAATTGTTCTGTCAGGAAATTTCTCCTCAGTTCTAAGTTGCTTCTCTCCTTGATTAGTTTCCACCCATTGCTTCTTGCTCTACCCTCAGGTGCCTTGGAGAATAGTTTGACTCCCTCTTCTTTGTGTCAGCCCCTGAGATATTGGAACACTAAGGAAGTTTAGTCTAAGGAAGAAAAAGAGATGTGCTAGTGGTCTTCAAGCATACAAAGGCTTGTCATATATAATAGAGACTGGACCTGTTTTCTCTTACTCTGAAAGAGTTTACAGATAAGTAGACTTAGGTTAGCCATTCAGAGGAATTTGCTAAATGGTAGGAATTGTTAAACAGCAAACTGTTCAACAAAGTATGCTTCCTTTCATTGGCTATTTAATCCAATGGCTTTCATTGGATGTATTCAAATAGGCTAGTAAGTGTGTGTATGTGTGTATTTTATTACAGTTCTGTGATACACTATAAACCCGTGTGGTGGCCTAGTGGTGAAGACGCTCACCTCCCATTCAGAAGGTTGAGAGTTTAATGTTAATTAAACTAATTAAGGTAGCGGTAAATGTTTCTCTCCCCTAGAGTGTAAAGAAAAAATACCTGCTGCAAACTCCACAGGCACCAGGAAGAGCATCTGGCCAGTAAATGCTCATATCCAACCAATTGCTGCGACTCTAGGGAGTTTCTATCATATATCGTAGGTTTAAGCTACCTTTATAATATAAGATTAACTGAGCAAAGCAGTTAAATCATTTTTAATGTATGCTGCTGCCCTGATTTGCTAGTATATCAAATGGGAAGAAGTTACGTCCTTTACTTTAAAACAATTTTCAAATAATATTTCTACACTGTACTGAAACAATAAGCACATGTAGAGCCATTTAACCCACCACAATAGTGGGTTATATAAAAGTTGTGTCAATGAGTGAATGGATGGAGATGAACCTGTCAATATACTGTATACCTGGGTTTTCAAAACACTTATAAAGTTCTTTTCTCTTGAAGCTTTTACTGAAATTGTTCATTAACATTTCTTCAAAAAATGTAGTTCATGGGAATTGCTTAATTCCTCACCTCATCCCACAGAAATCAATAAACAATTATAAGAAGCAAGGATATGCTTGGAGTCAGCTTTTAAGCCTGTTCATAAACGAACTTGAATTGAGAGTAAGAATAAACTGGCCAACTTTAAGAATGATCCCAAGTTATCTACACTGGTAAAACCAAGATTGTGAAGAGCCTCAGAAGAATCTTTTTAAATTATAGTCTTATGAAGAAAAACAACGATGATCCTAAGTGAAGATGCAAAATTTTTCAAAGCAGGTGTTAATTTCAGACAATTGCCCGAAATAGATAACAAAGCAGGCTATTTAATTGCAAACACCATAGAATTCAGAGTGAGATCAGTCTTAATAAGTGTAGCAAATATTTTGAAACTTCCTTCCCATAGTTTAGATAACTTTTATCCTATTTAATATTCGGGTTTTTTCCAGTTGTTTTTAATAAACTGATTAGGAGCACCTGAAAATAAAAGTAGCACAAAAGATCAACGTTATTTCTGACTATGGTTTTAATATTCCTGTCCGTATTTCGGATTAAAAAGTATTTTCATTACGCCGATTGTAGGAGTAGAAATTAAATACGTAAACCATGCGCTAATATTCCCAAAATAATATTCTCCATACGCTACTCCACGTATGAAATTAAATGCATAAAGAACGCACGGTTACGCGCTTAGAACCCGTGGGCGATGCATTGAGAAGTATTATTTGCCTTAACGGGGAAAAGGAGAAAACAGCCGAATAATTACCGAACGTGAGCGACCTCCCGTATACGCGTGCACATTTTCTGCACTCTTTTCTTTTTTCTAGCTCTATAGGGCACTGCAAAAAAAAAAAAAAAAAGCAAGGGCGTGGCCAATTCAACCGTTGCTGCGCTGCAAATACAGCTGAGCGCCGTCAGGCGGCACTTTCTCGTCAAAGGAGGCGGGATGGTTTGCCGCCGCTTTTCCCGCGCAAATCCCGTTCCCGCCGTTTGAAGGAAGATCTGTGGCGGACAGGAGATGGTAAGCCGTGTCCGTAGGGCTTGCGAGGTTTCTAAGTCGCTCCCATATAGCGGGCTGTGAAGGCTGTATATACGATCGAGTGACGGTGTTATTTCCCCGTTGAACTACAGCTCCCATCATGCCCAACACCCGTTGAGGTACCTGGGGAAAGTGGGAAGTGGAGTCCAACGCAGGGATGGAAGAAGCTGGAGTAATGAACCTCTTTTCCTCGAGGTTAGTCGGACTTGTAGGAAATTAGGTTTCTCGCACCGGATGCCTCCTGACGTGCTTCAGCGTAACCCAGTTATCTTCAGCTAGCGGGTCGGTGATGGAGGGCTAGTTGTAGGCAACATATTTGGAGAAGTCGCAGACAGCCCACTTGCCTAGAAGTCTTTGAACTCCATAAGGCTTTCCCTCTAGGAAGAGGGCACTGACAGAAAGGTCAAAATAGGAGTGGGAGACGATAGTCCCTTTATGATTTGTGGACTTCAACTCCCAGAATTCCTGAGCCGGCCATACTGAGCAATGCTGGCTCTGGAATTCTGGGAGTTGAAGTCCACAAGTCATAAAAGGCCATTGTCCTCCATGTCTGTCTTAAAGTAACTACCCTCACCCCATATAATACATAAATTGATCAAAACAAAGCTCTATATTTTACTTACACCTTCTCTCTTGCATTTAATCTTTGTAACGATCTTTTGAGACGGAATCAATATAGAATCACTGAGCGAGATTGACCATGAATTTAGCATTTATAGCAGTCTCCACTTACAATTATGTGTATTTCCAGCCCTCCCTTGCTCATACAGAAGCCAAGTAGATTTCTGTTTGGGAGAGAATGGTGAGTGTTTCCCCACCTTCAGACCAGTATATCAGGGGTGAAATTCAGCAGGCTCTGACCAGTTTTGGAGAACCTGTAGCAGAAATTTTGAGTAGTTAGAAGAACTACTGGAGAACTGGCTGGCCCCAGAGTGGGGAGGGAATGGAGATTTTGGATCCATTAAATACAGATAGTCATTAAGTGTGGGAAATGGCCATAAGTCAATTCTTTCAGGATGTTGTAACTGATCAGTCATTAAATGAACTGTTGTAAGTGAAGGACTACCGGTACATACAATTCATACTCTGGTTCTGAACACTTTCATTATTATATCTAGTAATCCCAACATATAGTTGTAGTTAGCTTAATAAAGTAATGGTTTAGTAGTAGTTGTTGTTGTTGTGGTTGTTGTTGTTGTTGTTGTTGTTAGTAGTAGATGAAAAAGAAGACAATGACGAAGACCTACAGAATTTCCAAGAATTGGAAATGTCTGAATGCATAACATCAATCCCAAAGTATAGGGATTTTGCTCTGTGGGGTATGTAAATTGTTTAGAATAAATCTCCATTTTTTAAACTCTTGCCGGAGTTCTGCCTCTGCTTCAGGTTTTGCAGAATTAGCCATTAGTATTTAAGAAATCCATAATAGTAATTGTCATTCCTTCCCTTCATTATAGAATAGAATAGAATAGAATAGAATTCTTAATTGGCCAAGTGGTCACACAAAGAATTTGTCTTTGGTGCATATGCTCTCAGTGTACATAAAAGAAAAGATACATTCATCACGAATCATAAGGTACAACACTTAATGATAGTTATAGGGTAGAAATAAGCAATCAAATCATACTAGGAAACAATCAATATAAATCCTAAGGATACAAGCAACAAAGTTACAGTCATACAGTCATAAGTGGGAGGAGATGAGTGATAGGAACGATGAGAAGATTAATAGTAATAGTAATGCAGACTTAGTAAATAATTTGACAGTGTTGAGGGAATTATTTGTTTAGTAGAGTGATGGCATTCGGGGGAAAAACTGTTCTTGTGTCTAGTTGTTCTGGTGTGCAGTGCTCTATAGAGTCGTTTTGAGGGTAGGAGTTGAAACAATTTATGTCCAGGATATGAGGGTTCTTGTAATATTTTCATAGCCCTCTTTTTGACTAGTGCAGTATACAGATCCTCAATGGAGGCAGATTAGTAGTAATTGTTTTTTCTGCAGTTCTAATTATCCTTTGAAGTCTGTGTCTGTCTTGTTGGGTTGCAGAACCAAACCAGTTATAGAAGTGCAGATGACAGACTCAATAATTCCTCTGTAGAACTCTATCCTTGGGCAGTTTGAGCTTTCTGAATTGATGCAGAAAGAACATTCTTTGTTGTGCTTTTTTATGATGTTTTTGACGCTAGGTGCCCATTTTAGGTCTTGAGATATTATAGAACCTTATTTGTCCAAGAATTGTCTTTATGGTATCATGAATAACGGCTGTTTAAAGATCTCTCTTGTGAAAGTGAGTGGGATATTAATCCTGGAAATTTTTAAAAAACCTATTTTTTAAATCCCTAAATAATACTAATCTTGTACAGAATATGTTTTGATTATGTTTACAAATTATTTCCTTTGCAATTCTGTTTACTACACAGCAAAGCTTGTAACCAAGGAAGAGAAATGCATGTAAAGGTATACAGTGTGTCTATACACCACACCTTAAAAACATAGATAACTTGTAGTGCATTTAGCTGTGAAAATAACTTGGAGCAAAGCCAGTTAAATGAGGGTGGTAAAACACATTATTTTAAACAAATAATTTACAACTACTAGTCTTAAAACCTGTTATTGAAAGTTGAACAAATGTTTTGCTATTGAACTTTTGAAACTTGACACCTGTTACTGTCCACACTGTTTAATTGATTGTAATAGGTTAAAGATTATGTAAATAAAAGCATTGCCAGGAAGGGTAATAGTATCTTCTGTAGTAAATATTGTATCTACTCACAACTAAGCAGACTGATAACCGTAGGAAGAAATGGGTTGCTTTATCATAGCTGTCATTCATGACACTACTATAATAGGTATTTTGGACACTAATTCTGTCATAGTGGCTTTGGACTTTCTTTAGTGCATTTTTTCTATGTTGTGTTTCCCAAAACTCTCAGAATGACAAGCCGCATAAACAAGCAGGTATAAAAATAGGGTAGCACTATAATTTAGCAATAGCACTTAGACTTATACACCGCTTCACAGTGCTTTACAGCCCTCTCTAAGCAGTTTACAGAGTCAGCATATTGCCCCCAACAATTGGGTCCTCATTTTACCCATCTCGGAAGGATGGAAGTCTGTCAGCTTTGATAAGCTCTGGTAAGACTCGAACCTCCAAACTGCTGGCAGCGGCAGTCAGCAGAAGTAGCCTGCAGTATTGCATTCTAACCACTGCACTACCACGGCTCAGTATATGAATTTGTGCAATAATTTGCTAGAACTTGACAATGATACTCTTAGTTGGTCCTAAAAAGGTATTGCTATAGTATGGTGTAGCAGCAGCTGTAGGCAGACTTTCCAAATGATCTTATGAAGCAAATAGCAGTCTTAAAGAAAATGCTTGTTTATTGGATAGCCATGCTTATTTATTTCCTATACTTTTATGTCACACAAAATGCAGGTTGTGTGTGTTTGTGTGTGTGTGCATTCAGTATAGAACTATTAAAATATATAAAAAATGTGTTTTGGGCATCAGAAGAAAATATTGCATTCATCTTTGAAAAAGCCCTGTAGTTCATTTTAAAAATCTGTTCATTTTTGGAGTTGTTTGAGTTGGTTTTATACATTTACTTTGTAATTTATAAATATAGTTTATGAATCAACCAAATGTTTGATTATACATTGTTTTGGGTTAAATTATTTTATATTTTTATTGTGACATGCATGTAGACAATTATTATGGAATAATATAAATCAGACAAAAATATATGATTCTACAGTCAAGACAATATTTCTTGTATTTTCAAAAGAATAAATGAAACAAACACATCAGAAACAAGTTTTATATTTGAATGTCTTAATAGTTTTCAAGTAGTCACATATACTGATACTTCCGTCGAAGAAAAAAATACATTAAATTACTATAGGTAGTAAAATCTATGCAAATAAACATATAAAACTAATTTTATGACTGAAATCAGATATATCATCTTTTGAATAATATCTTATATGTAAAACTGCAAATAAATTGTGTGGGAAGTTTCCACAAAGTCTATCAAAGCTGATGCCCATTAGGCTCTCAGTGCAGTCCTTCATTTCAACTAACGTATCTAAGATTTTTGGTTTTGAATGCAGTCGTTTATGTAGTGTGGCTTTTCCTACTTAGTCAAAGAAAAGAGGTCTGAGCGTTGAAGAGAAGAGAACTCGAATGATGGAAATCTTTTTTGAAACAGTAAGTAATATTTGTTGTCGCTTTCTATTACTTTGGATGTTTTTAAACAAATTGAGAATCTGATTTGAAAATACAGAGTTGCCAAGAGGACTGGTTAAAGGTCCTTGCTATATACTATGGTTGTAGTCACTTCCATGATGCCTAAGAGTAATTTATCATGTAAACTCATGTGGAAAAATGATCATTCAAAAAAGCATACCAATTTTAGACATTCTCTATGATATAATGAAATCATCTTGAATTCTACTCTCAATCTAACAACTGACCTTTGATAAATTGCCTTTTAATGTAAAACATTCCAAATATTCTAAGAAATTTATATAGTGTTTTATATATTTTATCTTAATTTGAGGAAAACTATTTTAGTATAGATAAAAAGACTTCGATGAATCAGGAACCTATAATTATTAAAGACATCCTAATGTTAGTCTACTTGCATCATGAATGGTGGAGCAAAAAGATGCATACATTGATAAATGTCTCTTTAATCTGGAATATTATATTTTTATGTGTAGAGTTTTGAGTCATATAATATTTCAGTGCTATAAAGACTATTTTTCATGTTAATATTTGTTTTCTTTGTATTTTATTTTGAATTGCATATGAGATTTATAAAGTCTATAAAAATATTTGGCTATAGAATGCTGAACAAAAGAATTTCATTTGATTTAGTGCTTTCTAAATTTAAAAATGAGCCAAACTAAAAGTTCTTACCTCACAAATATTTGCTTATTATTGTCTACTTTGGGTGGTTTTTAAAGATATTCCTTTACATGATCCTGCAGCAATAGTGCCATCTAATTTTATGTCTGAAAAGGATAATTTTAGAACAGAAGCAAAATACGCATTAGCAGTTATTGTCTAAAATGTTAGAATAAATGAAAAAGAAATACAGTAACTAGTATTTAGTAAATAGCAGGATGCAAGTACTTTAGAAGCAGAGAAATGCATGTGTCCTTTGAGGAAATGCAAGTGATCCGATGGTTTTTTTCATTCTTATCAGAAAATGTCTTCTAATAGTCTGGTTAAATTATTTTTAACATAGTTTTTCTTCTTTTATTCTTGCAATACATTTAGTGAGAGAATTTAGTGAGTTCAGTAATGTTTCTGTCCTTTGCTATAATAGGAACACATTACAAAACAAACTGTTTTCTTCTCACTTTTTTGGTATCAGAAAGATGTATTTCAATTAAAGGATATTGAGAAAATTGCTTCGAAAGAAAAAGGAATAAGTGAGTACCTAGACTTGATTGTTTCTAAATTTGAGTCATAATTCCATTTGAAGGGTTTTTGTTTTTTCCAAAGACATCATGTTCTTACTCTCACAGAAGTCTGAAAATTGGATCTAACCAGGTTTGATAGTTTAATTTAATATTCATCCTATTTTCTCACAAGCACAACCCTGTGGGATGAATTGAGCTGAGAAAGAGTAACTGGCCCAAAGTTAACTCATCATTTTTCATGTCAAAGATGGGACTAGAACTTACTGTCTCTCAGTTTCTAGACTGGTGCCTTAACCACTAGACCAAACTGAATCTATGTAAGACATTATTATAATTAGTTGTACAGTCAGCCAAATGTTTAAACTCAATTTGACATTTTTAACCACCGATCAAGTTGTTCCCAAGGACCTGGAATTGGCAGATGTTTTTGTTTGATGGTGTTAAAAATATTGTCTCAGGATGTAAGATGTTCCGAGTAAAGCTGCCTTTTTCAACTGACTGATTATGATTTTGTCAGTGCTGACAATATTAAAATGGTGCTGCAGATGTTTTGGGATTGCATATAAGGCACCTATTACTATTCACACTATCTTTGCTGCTTCTTTTTTTTTTTTGCCAGTCATTCTACTTCTATTTGCAGATGTTTACAGTTTGTGATTTTTTCCAGTTCTTCCTCTTCTATTATTCTAACTCCAAGTACTACCGCATCCACTATCTACACTAATTTTTATATTCACAACAATGTAAATTGCAGCTGCCAGCTCTTTAGCTGACAGCTGTAATTTAGCTCTTTAGCCCTTTTTTCATATCAAGTTTGTCTTAAGAACCTAGGACAGTGATGGTGAACCTTTTTCGCCTCGGGTGCCAAAAGCACACATACATGCGCTATCATGCGCGCTTGCAGGCCCGCCCCCATTGTGCCCCCTGTGCATGCACCCATGACCACCCCACTGCCCTGTGCATGCATCCACAGCTTTCTTGGAGCCTGATGAGGGTGAAAATGGCCTCCCCCCCCCGGAAGCTGGAAACAGCCTGTTTTCTGACTTCTGATGGGCCTGGTAGGTCCGTTTTTCACCTTCCCCAGGCTCCAGAGGCTTTCTAGGAGGATCCAGAGGCTCCCCAGGCTCCAGAGGCTTCTTTGCCTGGAGAGGGCAAAAAAACGGCCCAACACACAAACCGGAAATTCGGGAATGGACTTCCGGGTTGCCCGTTGGGCCATTTTTCTCACTCTGGAGGCTTCAGCCTTCATATTAGGCTTCCCTAATATGGTAATTAGGTAATTAGGTAATACATACCTAATATGTATATATATATTGGGCTGATTTCATAAACCTGACTTAAATTTTCAGCGTGCAGATTCATTTCTTCTTTATTTGACTTCATATATTAAAAAGTGTTCTGATCTCAGGAGATGGGAAGGGTAGATCCAAGGGAAAATCAACTAGTTCAAAGGAGTAAATCACGTTGGATACATCAATGGGAAAAGTGATTTAAAACCAATGTTTCTTCAGAGTTCTTTTAGAGAAATAATAATGGACTGGGAAGAATTTGAAATTCCTCTGGATCTATGCCGAAGGTTCCTCTTGATATTTATTCTATGTACTAACAGTATTGGAATTGCCCCATTAGTATCTCGTTGTTCTGTTACAATCTAGTTTCTTACAAGAAAAAGCTATGTAAATTAATCTTTTTTGCTATTTGCTAAAATCACCGTGGCAGTGATTTTAAAGGAACTCTGTGTGTTGGGTTGCTGTACACGTAAGTAAGCCTAATTTACCATCTGCTATTTGTGGTAATTCGCAAAGGAATTGTTGACAATTTCTCAAAGGACATTCTGAATCTTTATTATTCTCTCTGATGTTTTAATGAATAATAGTTTCCCCTAATCTTTATAAGTTTTCAAAATAATAATTATGATTATTTCTTTGACAGCATCTATGTCAGTAAAGGATATCTTACAAAGCTTAGTTGATGATGGTATGGTAGACACTGATAGGATTGGAACGTCAAATTATTTTTGGGCCTTCCCAAGTAAAGCATTGCACACAAGAAAATGTAAACTGGAAGAACTGCAGAATCAGGTAATTCTACATGCTTCCTATTATGCAAATACAGTGATCATTAAATAACAATCTATTTCCAAATAAGTGTTTTCTCATTTAACTTAGTTGTGCTGTATCTTCATTTTGTTTAAGTATTTTACTATTTGTATTGTTTGAACTTATTAGTGTTTTTTCTCAAATATTTACAGTTAGTAGTGAGAGTTTTTTGTTCGTTTTGAGTCATATATACAGTATAAGCTAGTGACTAAATTTTAGATATTTGTAAAAGCTGTTCATTTAATAGCAGGCAAAAGACATATTTTACACAATTACTTTGTAACTGTAATGGTTTGAAGGGTTTAAATTTGGTTTGCACATTCTATATGTTTTATTTATTACATTATTTTATTTTTAAATTTATTTATTTATATACTGCTCATCTCGCTGTTTATTACTTGATTCCAATAGCCTTCACTATAGTATACTTTTTGGATCTTTTTATCCATTGCCACAGTTAGCATTAATACATGTATTGGAATTAACTGTTAGGGAAGCAATAAAGGAATGGTTCCCTTTCAAAAGTTGTGCCTTAGAGGATGAGAATGTTTACATTTAAATTAGTCATCTTCATTGAGAGGATTTTTAAAGCAGCATACAACCATAATAGATCCTGCCCATTGCATTTGAAAATTGGGATGGCATTAAATGAACTACCTCACTTAAGGAGTCCCTATCCCTGTTCTCTCCAATGCACTTATTAAATGAATGTCCAGGTGTTTAGGTGGAATATGGGGTGTCTTGGGTGGGGTACACCCTAGTACAGGCACAAGCCACCTGCATCCAGTCTCCCGAGCCCCCCCCCCCACTGAGATACTCTATGCTCCACATCCTGCCTCTTGGGATCCCATAGCCAGTTGGAACTCCTCTGCACCCTACACCCATCCCCCCAATCATCCCAATCATTTACCTTTCAAAGATCTCCAGATATCAAGATGTTGGGGTACAGAAGGATTATCTCAAAGTTTCATTTTTCTCAAGCTTGTTAGAGTGCCATTAATAAAGTTGAGGTACAGTTTTGCTACTTGTTTACATTTGTGGTAATTTGTAATACTATAGAAATGCAAATGCAGGTAGTCTTCAACTTTCAAAGTTATGACAGACACCTTCCTCAAAAGCTACTTATAACCTGGTTTAAAAATTACAGCCTCTGTAGCACTCCTGCATCATTCACCTTTAATGACTGATTGCAGGGATGTTGTAGCATTCAATCCCTCTGCCATCATCCCTTCAGCCATTCATCCACCCAAGGGAGCTCAGGCCATCTGCAGTGCACACAAAGTGGCTTGCAGGCCTCAAACCTCCTTACCACCCAGCCACCCAGGGACTTACAGGACGCAACCTGTTACAGGGCCCATCAGCACACAATTTGCCAGTGGGTGTTTTTTTTCTTTGCAGCTTCTGACAGAGGTGCCTGGCCGAACATAGGATCAGCTTTCTTACACA